TCTATCTATCTATCTATCTATCTATCTATCTATCTATCTATCTATCTCAGAATGTCATGAACTCTGCTCTCTGCCTCCAGCTGCTCTCTGCCAGCGCTCTCAGCCACGCCCACTTCACACTGCACGGTGATCAGCTGATCAGCTGCAGCAGGAAGTTTATCCTGCAGTATGGGCTGCACAAACGATACAGGTGGTGCTAAATAATTTTAAATAATCTATTTAAAAAAAAAAATCCATGTCGATCGTGCGGCTCATCCGTCAATCAGCCAGTTGTGTGTGATGTCCAATCTTATTTTGAAAAACTGCGATAGAGTGATTCCGTGAAAAATGAATTGCGAAGTAGCGAGGGACCAGTGTAATTGTAGTCCTGGTTACTTAGTACAATGGTCAATAAATCACAACTGGAAAAGAGTTTAGTTAGGTGGGATGTTACGCACAGACCTAACTTCCAAAGAAAATGGAATCCAGCATTTGTTGCCTGAATTTGGATCATTGTGGTTTTATCGCAGATCATCTCATTCTCTGAACAAAATTTAAACACTGCGTAATTCAACATTGTTATATCCCTCCTGTTTGCTCTAAAACTGGACTTCAACAGTGATTTACCATCATGAACAGTCTGACTTTGGTTGGATTATTTTACCATCATCTCTAATGTCTCTGCCTCACAGAAGTTCATATCCTCGTCACATTTTTTTACTGCACAGGCCCGACAGGAAGCTCCACGACGTCTGCGCCTTTCAGTCTGTTCGTGTTTACTGTGGTGGTGCACAAATGGGCTGACTGCTGCTTCACATTTAACGATGAAGCATTTAATCTTAAATAACTGCAGAGATTTTCTGTGAAGAAATTATATAAAGGTTAGAGATCTGTGATCGGAAGGTCGCTGGTTCAACTCCCTGGACCAACAACATCAAAATGTGGGTGGGAAAGGTAAAACACACACCTTTGTTTGCCCCACTCTGGGCCCTTGAGCAAGGCAACCAACCACCATCTGCTTCCCCGAGCAGCTCTCAGCTCAGAGGGCTGTGGTAGCTCGGTTGTTGTGTCAGGAAAGACATTCGGTGTAAAAACAATCGCCAAGTCTTAAAGCGAGTTAGTTGACAGAGGAACGGAGCCGCCGAAACATGAACAAATGCAGTGGGTTTAAAACCGTTGTAAGGACAAACAAATGTCCCTCGTCTTCTCCTCTCCCCGGGTTATTTTATTCCCAACACCGTCCCTGCAGGTGAGACGAGGGCAACATGTGACCTGAGGGTCAAACGAGGGCCCTTGAACAGTCTCCCCCTGAAAACCTGCATTTTATGAATGAAAGTTAAGAAAGTTTAAATTAAACCTCTTGGACAAATACGTTGAAAACATGTAGAAATATAGGCTAATTTTTTTACGTTGTGTTTCTAGAACTAGACTGAACCTTAAGACTCCAAACAAAAAAGAAAATGTTTTTCATATTTTGGCTAATATATCATCACAAGAGCCAATTTACAAAAATATATACCTCATATTCATAACGAGTATTGGGGGAATATATTATATCGAGCATGCTAACTACACTACAACAAGAAAAAGCCTACAGAAGCATTCCAGATTATCTGTGTCTTAAAGAAAGTTTTTTTCCAGTGCTCTCCAGTGGTTCCCAACCCTGGTCTTCAAGGTTCCCTATCCTGCATGTTTTAGTTGTTTCTGTGCTCCAGCACACCTGATTCAGTGATTTAATTACTTTATTAAGTTCTGCAGAAGCCTTTTATTCATTTAAATCAGAAGTGTCAAAGCAGGAAAACAACTAAAACATGCAGGATGCATCCTTTGGTTGGATGAAGGATGAAACGTTTCAACAACAAAAATAAATAAAATAAACCTTCCAGATGACCTGACTGAACTTTCTTGGATTATTGAGCATGAACTATGATGCAGGATGGTGTTCCTCAAGGGCCAGGGTTAGGAACCACTGCAGTTTATGCAGCCCTTGAAATACTTTGTGTGTGTGTGTGTATGTATGTATATATATATATATATATATATATATATATATATGCATGTAGGTCCTCTTTTAATTTTTTTTTTAGTTTTAGTAAGTTTGCAAAATCTCCAAACAATAATGTGCAAAACCTGAAGGAGTTTGAACACTTCCTCAAACAACGTAAAGTACTGATCTGCACAAAAACTGTCTAATCGAGCAGCACAAATAGATTTTTCCCTTCAGAAGCACACGAGCCATTTAAAAAGCAACATGTGCAGGAGATATGTAGTTATATTTTAAAGGAGAAAGCTTGGACGTATGTTGTGTGTAGAACTGATCTACTTTAAATTGTTTTGTGCCAATTAAGTAGCCGAAATAGTTTTTTTTAATTGAAATCTGCACTTTAACAAGCCTATATTTCCAAAAAGTGTGCTTAAACACAGAACAAAGCAAAAATAAAGGGTGGCTACAGCAATCTGAATGACCAGATGTTGACTTTGTCTAAAACATCTGGATTAAAAGGTTATTTTACATTTTAAAGTTACAATGCGTAATAAGCAAAATTATTTTAGGCAAAAATAAAAGCACTGAGAGTGACTAAATGTGATGTAGCAGCACATGATGTGCCTCACAGCTTCCTGGTGTCCAACAAGGCATCGTGCCAGGCCCGTTTCAGATCAAAAGAAGTGATTGGACAATTTGAGTAAGGGTGCACGGAAATCAGTTTAAAATGAGAGATTTTGTTTTCCTGAATCAAAGCGAACAGAATCTCGGTGAATGTTCTGGTTCAAACTGTTTGATGCAGATGTTTGCACATCCTGTGTGTTCATGTAAACATAATGTGAATTCCTGTGTTTACCAATGACACTTTTTACGGTGCGTCTATATGAGCTTTGAGACAGGAAGCAATGGGTGCGGTGCTTCATTTTCACACCCACTCGAGTCTTCATGTTGCTCTGCAGCAAACTGAACTTAACAAAAAACAGCTGAAAAGTAGCTGAAAAGTCAGAAAGAAGCTGATATTACCAGAAGGAAGTGGAAAAAGCTGAAATTAAGAGAAAAAAAAGTGGAATTAACTGAAAAAGCTAAAAATAGCGTAAAACAGCTAAATAGTAGCTGAAATAATTGAAACTAGCAGAAATAAGCTGAAATGAGCATAAAAAGTTGAAATTAGTAGAAAGAAGTTAAATCAGGCTGAACTGAAATTACAATGAAAAACTTGAATTTATCTGAAAACAGCTGAAACTAGCTAAAAAAAAGGTAGAACAAGCTTAATAGCAGAATAAAGTGGAAAGGATACGTTTGCCCTATTAGGCTTAAAGAAGCAGAAACAGCTAAATAGTAGCTGAAATAGCAGAAAAGGCTGAAACTTGCACGAATAAGCTGAAATTATCAGAAAGAAGTTAGAAGAAGCACAAAAATGGTGTGGTTAACAGAATAAAGCAGAAAGGAGCACAACAGCTGAAATTAGCTGAAAGTAGCTGGAAAAAATGTTTATATATGCAGAAAGAAGCTGAACCAGAAAAAAAAAATAATGTGAAAGGAGCAGTAAAAGGTTGTAAACAGATCTAAA